TAGAAGCACATGCTGTTCTCAAGAGTTCTATACCATAGGTCCAGATAGGTTTCAAGATTGAATATTATACCTGGACTTTATTTTCCAGACTTAGCTTAGAGTTTTTATTAATAAGCCAATAAAGCTTCTATGATTTCTATTTAATTTGAGTTTTCTTGCTTTGAATGTGTTTAGTCCAATTCAGCCTTTTGTGAAGATGAATGCCAAAATATTTTGCATTATTTGACTAGGGTATATAATAATATTATTCAACTTAACAACTTTACTATAATGCGCCATTTTGATAGCTACATCTCCAATAGAGAGTTAAATGAGTCGAGAGACTTTGGGATGCCATCAAGTGGTCATTGTTAGAAGTGATCTCTCACTACTAAAAGTAGTACTACTAAAAGTAGTAAGAGGTCAGGTGAATAGATTATATGCAAGAACGGCCTCACTTGAGGAGCTTCTTTGAGGAACACCAGCCATTATGTCGATTTCTCTTGAAATAAAGGTATTGTATTTCAATCTAAATCTTTTAGAGGATATATCTGAATACAATGGCTTATGCATATTATGAGGAAGGTAATGTTTTATTTTATGCATAAGACCTTCGTACCAAACCTTATCAAAAATTTGGGCTACGTCCAATAAAACGGCGGAACAGTATTTTTTATGCTGAAAGGCAGTATGTATTTCTTTAGCAATTCTGTGAACTTACTCAATAGTGTAATGTCCTGTTCGAAATCCAAAATGATGGTTTAGGATCACATTGTTTTGAGTTATTATTGGCATTATATATGACTGCAGCTTTTTCTCCAAGATTTTGGATAACTGGGACAAAACACTTATTGGTCTATATAATTTTTATATCTGAAACTTTGCATTGCTTCGGTTAGTAGCCAAACGCAAGGATGCTGTAAAATATCACAGTTAGAAACAATATTTCTGAATCAAGCAATTGTTCAATTGAAGATATTCTTGTGAACCGCGATTTTTGTCATTAGATAGGGCTTTTTTAAGATCTTTTGAAGCTTTATTTAATCTTTGTTTTGAGGTGGGTGATTGAAGTCTTGCCATTATCGCCTGGATTTTTGTTTTCGGGAGATAAGAAAATCAATATGTGATTGAAATACTATATTTGACTGGACTAACCTTTTTGGCTGAGAGAGTTTAATTACAGCATTATTTATTGTCTTGTTGTAGTGATCGACTGCTTTATCAAATTCTTTGGGTGATCTTTGGGTGATTATTACTTATTTCTTCATTAATGACACTTCCATAATTCCTTCATTTTTCTTCATTAATGACACTTCTATAATTCCTCCATTTTATAAGAGTTTTCTTATTCTGTTCTTTCAAGCTAATATTAAATTTTGTCAGAGTGAAAATAACAAAAAATGGTCAGAAGACAAGTCATAACATGGCTTAGCATGGTTTTGGGTTTCAACAACTCAGCAATTAAACTTTGGTTGGTATAATGTTTAGCATCAAACTATTCATCATATTTTGCATGAAGTCCAAGAAGGGATCAATTTTTTAAGTAAAATTTGCGTGCATTGCTTCAAACCACGGAACAAAAGAAGTGAGATTTGTTTAGTGGCATTTGTGTACTTCATCTTCTGCATTGGTGGAGCAGGTGGCTGCAATCAGCATTTTTTAAAAGGGTCGGGAAATGAGATATTTCTTTTAAGTTGTCTCTTTCATCACTTAATGCTTTAAATCATTTGTTTTAGTTATTGTTGTTTACTTTTTGAATTTTGTCACGATTGTTTGCGTTTTTTTGTGGACTAAGAATTCGCTTAACTATTTGAATATATAGTTCGATTCCTGTTTGCACTTTGACTGGTTAATTTGGAATTTTTCCCGAAATTAGGAGTATTACATTAAGCACTCCACAGCTGAAGACATAGAAATGGTACTTCTTTTACAGAAACCGATCAATTTGGACATAATTTTAATTCTTGTTCCTGTTGCTTCTGTATTAGATGCTAATCTTGTAGAGTTTGCTTTTGTGTTTTATATTGCTATCGTTGTATTTTTTGCTACTGATTAAGTTGTTGTTGAGCTTCACCTTTCGGTTGAGTACGGTATTATAATAAGTCAAAACGTTAACAAATAAATAATCGGTATATGTAATTGAAAAGTATTATTTTATTCTTAAAATATTTACACAATCACACTATGCAGTTATATTTTTGAGTAATTGATTTGAACGTTTCACAACACTTATTTATGCTTTTTTGTTTTTGTCTTTTTCAGTTGTTTTATATATTTATGTAAATACAAACAAACTTTTGTCTTTTTCAATTGTTTTATATATTTATGTAAATATAAACAAACTTACTAAAACATACAAATCATTTTTCGAGACGTTAAAAATAATTTAAATCCGAGTAATTTTTTTTTTTTTCCTTCTTTTTTTATTTAATGAATCACTTAAAAAGTCTGACAATAATTATTTAAATCTTACATACTAAAATATTTATTCAACATTTTTTTCACTACCTAAACTTTTTTTGTTTATGTAAAACGTAAAGATTCTTCATTTTTGATTTTTAAAGTTTTTAACTTAATGTGGTAATACATTTCAGATGCATTAAAAGTATGTCCATAAATCTGGTCTTTTGAGACGGGATGTGTTTCTTATTCTGGTAAAATGTTGAGCAAGTGGGTTTGAATGTACCATTATTTTAGTGTCATATTTCTGCCGTAGGAGGAAATCCATATGTGGTGTAGATCGAAAAACTGGATGCATCTAACCTGGTCTGGATGATTCCTGGGCAATACAGATGCGCAGTGTACTAGTACAAGGTGTTTTTTGGAAAATAACAAATGGTGTTAGCAAAAAAGAAAATTTTCTGCTAATGCAGAAATTGAAAAGTAGGAAGCTGATAATGAGAAGGCACTCGCATCAATTTGCCTATCAGTGAAACCATCGCAATTAACATATATAAGAAATTGCTCTACTGCAAGTGTAGCATGGTCAAATCTTAAAGAGATTTACCAACCCAAAGGGCCACTGTAGAAAGTATTATTATATAAAAAGCTATTAAATTTGTCAATGACGCAGGACGCAGTTGACCACATAAATGAATTCACCGAAACAGTTGAAAAATTGACTGAAACTGGGATATAGATTCAGGCGGATTTGTTGGTAATAATGCTTTTATCCAGTCTCCCTAAAACATTTAAAAATTTTGTAATTGCAATGGAAACACGTGATTTATTAACTAGCCTCACATTGCTAATACAGAAAATTCTAGAAGAAGCAAAAAGACGAAAATAACGAAAAGAAGCAAAAGAGCAACAGGCGATTGTGGTGAAAAACATACAATATAAGAAAACAAGAGACATAGCAAAAAAAAAGGAAATGTTTTGTTTGTGGTAAAACTGGCCTCTAAGCTAATAAATGCAGATATAAAAAAAAGAACAAAAAACAGCAAAAACACGCTAAAGGTGGTCATGCATTTGCAATGTTAGCAGCAGCAGAAACAAACATAAAAAGAGAAATATAGTACTTTGATAGCGGCGCAACAACACACATGTGTAACAATAAATTGTTATTTTCGAAATTTGAGCAGCACAGCGAGCGTATTGCATTAGCAGGCAATAAATATATAAATGCAACCGGTAAAGGTGATGTATCATTTACAATAAGTAGTAGCACTATCAAATTAAAAAATATACTGTACTTTCCAGAATTGCAAGCAAATTTCATTTCAGTTAATAAAGCAGTTGATAAAGGTTTTTCTGTAATATTTGATGCACAAAAAGCAGTTATAAAAACAATTAATGGAGATGTTATACTTACTGCACTGCGGAAGTATAACATGTTTGAAACTGTAATAAACACAGAATTGCTTTGTATGGCGCATGACGAAAATACTCTTTGGCATTATCGATTTGGCCACCTCAATTATAAAAGTCTCAATGATTTATGTACCAAAAATATTGTAAACGGTATAAAAACTACAAACTGGAACGAAAGTAGTAAATGCAAAACTTGTATGCTAAATAAGATACATGTATTAAAATTTCCACAGAAGTCGAAAACAAAAACAAAGAGTTATTGGAGTTGATACCTTCGGACGTCTGCGGTCCTTTCAACGTACAATCAATTGGCGGAGCCTGGTACTTTATAACATTTATAGATAACAGAAGTAGAAGAGTATTTGTTTATTTCATCAAATCAAAAAGTGATGTTTTTGCTAAATTCAAAATATTCAAAGCAAAAATTGAACGCCACACAGGGCATAAAGTTAAAAAAGAATGGACTGAAAAATTTGATAATGTTTACATAAAGCAAACAAGAAGAATAAACTTGTCATAATTGCAGTATATGTAAATCATATAATCATCGGGTGCAGTGATAAGGAAATTTTAATTATCACTAAGAAGCAGATTTCTGAGCAGTTTCATGTTGATGATAAAAGTATGTTACATCATTTTCTCTTGCCTTTTTTTTGGTTAATAATCTTCATCGTCAGGTACGGTAGTGTTTTGTGCGATGTGCGTACCTTTTTTTTTCTTTTAATATTGAAGCCTTATTCGTTTGGGAAAACAAGCTAAGTGCGGTAAGCTAAGTGCAAGCACAACTAAAACATTTTAAGTTGATATTAATTTATATTCACTTGCGCGCGTTTACTTAAAATTATTTAATTATATTTATTAAAAATTTGCTAAATTTTTCTGTTTTTGCAAAAACACACTCGGTTAACTCTGGGTTGTTTTATTTTTTTATTTTTGCACACATGTAAACAGCTGACAGAGACAGCATCAAATTTCAAATTCATATGCGCACATAGTGTTGCAAAACAATTAATCTATCACATAATTGTGTTTTCTTTTAAACTTTATATCGTGTAATTGTGTAATTTTAAATAATTAAATATTGTTAAAAATTGAAGTTCAACTTCCAAACCAAAAGTAAATATAATATAAGCGAAAGAGACGCTAAACAAAAATTATTAGTGGTGTTTGTACATACTCTAGTGCATAAATTAGTATATGAGTTTACAACGAACTCCTCCCCGCATACGTAGCAAATCAGTAAGTGATGATAAAAACTTCGAGGTAATTAAAACAAAATTTGATAAAAATAAAAAAATAGGCTCACAAACACCGTTGACTGAGCCGTTTACTCCAACAACTGTAGTCTATCAGACGTTACCAACAACAATTAATAAATTCATATCGGCAAAACAAAATCTAATCACTGCTACTTCACCATCAACAATAAGAACTATGAGTGCAGTATCACAAAAAACTTATGAATCCACTGATTTAAGTGTCGAAAGGAATAATATAGCAGCAAACGAAGAAAAATCTGCTGGTGCGCTCATACAGACTGACATAGACCGATATATTAAGGTTGTTAATAAAAAGCGAAAGCTGAGTCCCCAAAAACTCAACTCTCAATTAAATAAACCAAAAAAGTCAAATAACTTGACTATACCCGAAACCCAAAACCGATTTTCCCTACTTAACAATGATGAAGAAACGCCTAATGCCGGAACCAGTGAAGCCAAAAAAAGTCCAAAACCACCTCCGATATACTTGCGCGAAAAAAATAGCAACTCGCTTGTTTCTCTTCTCGTATGTGCTATTGGAAAAACTCAACAGCAACTACTTAACTCTATCGTTTCAAAATAAACTCCATAAAAATATGTCAAAGGAACTGCAATGGCGTAAGCCAAAGAAAGCGTGAAATCCAACTATTTCTAGACACAAATGAAATAGAAGTCTTACTCTTATCCGAGACTCATTTAACAAATATATATCACTTCTCTATACCTGAATATAAATTTCATCACTCAAATTATCCGGACGGCAAGGCTTCGTCTAAAACACTACGAGATTGAAGAATTCGCTAAGGATTATTTGCAAGCCAAGTCCATTTGTCTTAAATGTTGGAACGAAGATATAGTGATATCGTCAGTTTACTGCCCACTCAGGTTTAATGTAACTCACACGCATTTTATTGAATTTTTTAAAACACTTGGCAAAATATTTATAGCTGCAGGCAACTATAACGCTAAACATACTCACTGGGGTTCACGGCTTATTAATCCTAAAGGCAAATCTACTTACCGCTCTCAAATCGCCAAATGAACCTTCATTTTTCCTCTTCAGGTCATCCCACCTATTGGCCCCCAGACTCCTGTAAAATTCCTGATTTATTTGATATTGGTGTTGTCAGAGGCATAGACCGAAACCTTATAAATTCTCAAACTTGTTGCGAGTTGTCTTCTGATCACTCGCCTCTCCTGATAACTGTTTCAAATAAAGCACTCTGCTACGGAAGATCATTTCAACTTACCTCCAAAAAAACGAATTGGATTAAGTTCTGAAAATACATCAGCAATCACTTAAACTTAAAACCCAAGCTCAGAAATGAAACAGATATAGACTTAGTCTTGTATGATCTTGCAACTGTTATAACCGCAGCTGCAGTGCACGGAACACCCATCATGCATGACCATGATCCAAAGCCTCCAAAAAGGACATCCGCTCTAATTGAAAAACTTTTAAAAGAAAAACGCCGTCTACAAAGAGAAAGGCAACGAAATTGATCTCCATCCGGAAAGCAAATGTTTTATCAAGCAGCTAAGCTATTAAAAGAAACTTTGGATAAAGAACTAGACGAAAATATACAGAAATTTACGGAAAACCTCTCTCCTTTCGGAAAAGATAAACTGTCATTATGGAAAGCCACTAAGCGGTTAAAAGGACCAAAGAAATCTGAACCACTCCTAAGACTGGGAAACGGAAATTGGGCAAGGAGTAACGAGGAAAAAGCTCTAGCTTTTGCTGATCACCTGCAAACGGTTTTTATACCCAATCCACCTACGGGTCATCTAGAAATTAATTCCAGCATTAGAAATGCGTAAAGTGTTCCAAATCCAATAAAAGTCAGTGCTAATGATGTCAAGAAAATTGTTGGCCAGCTTCAAATAAAAAAAGCTCCTGGTCATGACCTAATAAGCAATGAAATGATATCCCAGCTTCCGGGTATTGCTATAAGAATGTTTTCTTTTTCTGCAATGCGATGTTTAGAGTCGGATATTTTCTTTTCGCTTGGAAAACGTCTCAAATCACAATGATTGCAAACCCTGGTAAGGATGTAATACAAGTAACCTCTTACAGACCAATTAGCTTACTGCCAACGCTTTCTAAGCTATTTGAAAAAATTTTGTTAAGAAAACTTCTCCCGTTCATTGAAGAAAATAACATCATTCCTACTCACCAATTTCGTTTCCGGCATAAACACAGCACAATTGAGCAAGTTCACTGAGTGGCAAACGAAATTAGAAAGGCCTTTGAAGAAAAAAAATAATGCTCTGCCCTATTTCTTGACATTGCACAGGTCTTTGACAAAGTATGGCACGAAGGTCTAATCTTTAAGATTAGGCAAATTTTACCAACTCCTTTTCATAAACTATTAATCTCATACCTAACTACACGTAAATTCAAGGTAAAATTTAAGGATACAACCACAGATGAGATTGAAGTGAATGCTGGAGTCCCGCAGGGCAGCGTCCTTGGGCCAGTTTTATATCTCATATTAACATCGGATTTGCCGACTAGTCAAAAACTTGAAACATCCACGTTTGCAGATGATACTGCTCTTCTCAGCGTTCATAAAAATTCTTCCACCGCTTCCCAGGAACTACACACATAACATTTACACTTAGAAAAGATACTTGTCCACCCGTAACTCTCAATAACGTCATTATACCAGCATCCCAAAGTGTTACATATCTTGGTATTCATTTAGACCGACGATTGACATGGAGACAACACATAGCCGTAAAACAATCACAAATAAAACTAAGGTTCCTTAGGTTGTATTGGTTACTCAATAAAAGTTCAAGATTACAGCTTGCTCATAAAGTTCTGTTATATAAAACTACGATTAAGCCTATATGGACTTACGGGGCCCAACTTTGGGGTAAAGCCAGCGCGTCAAATATAGATATTTTACAGCGCATTCAGTCAAAAATACTTCCTTCAATAACAGGAGCACCCTGGTTCCTCAGAAATTTCCACATACATATGGACCTTCAAGTGCCTCTAGTCAAACACGAGCTAACCCTCCTACGGCAAAAATATGCAGTAAAATAATGGTGCATCCAAACCCACTCGCTCAATATCTTGCCAGAATGGGAAGTATATCCCGTCTCAAAAGATCGGATTTACCGGTATACTTTTAATGAATCTTAAATGTATAACTACAACCAGTTAAAAAATTATAAATTTTATATTATAAAATTTTATATTACTTTCATAATGTTTTTTTTTCTTTTTACAAAGTTTTCCTTTTTATTTTAAAGTTTTGTATTATTAAATTATAATTTTACGTTTTAAACAAGGAAAGTTTATGTAGTGACATAAACTTTGAATGAATATTTTTAGTGTGTAAGATTTAAATAATTATTGTTAGACTTTTTAAATGATCCAATAAATAAAAGAAAAGAAAAAAAAAATTTTTTCTTGGAATGCAAATAGAACGAGATGGAGAGCCGGGACAATAAAATTAAACCAATCGCAGTATATTTGCGAAATCCTAAAGTAATATGGCATGGAGCAATGCAAAGCAGTGGCCGTTCCATTAGAAACAGGCTACCTAACAACTAGCCAAGGTGAATGCCAAAAAGCAGATATAAATGAATACCAATCTCTAATAGGATCATTGATGTACCTAGCTATATCCACAAGACCAGATTTGTTATACTCCGTGTGCAAAATGGCACAAAGAAATGTAGACCCACATGTAGAGCATATAACAAAGTTAAAGCTTATCCTCCGGTATCTTCAAGAAACAAAAGATATAAAACTAATTTATGAATCGGGTCAGAAAACTCTAGTTGAATTTGTAGATGCTGATTGAGGTAGTAATGCAGAGGATCGAAAATCATACACAGGCTTCCTATTTTTCCTGGGAAATACTCTAATATCATGGGAGTCCAAGAAGCAAAAAACGGCCACACTCAGAGGTACAGAAGTAAAATACATGGCAGCGTCAGAGGCAGCAAAAGAAGCTATTTACTTGAAGCGATTGCTAATCGAACTTGGATATTTGAAGACTATACCTACCGACTAAGACATCGATAATCAAGGTGCCAAGAAGCTTGCAGAAAACCCTGTGTACCATAAGAGGAGCAAGCACATCGACATCAAATTCCATAATATAAGGGAACTGGTGCAATGCAAGGAGATTGCATTAATTTATTGCAGTTCAAACAATATGGTGGCAGATGAGATGACCTAAAACCTTTGTAGAATTAAACATAACAATTTTATAAAAATGTTAAATATGTTTCGATAAACGCCAAAGTCAGTCCAAAATCAAGGTTATGCTGTTTTGTGACTGTTTTCTTCAATATTCGTGGTGTGGTGCACTATGAATTCCTTCCGCACGGTCAAACGGTCAATAAGGAGACCAGATTTATGGAAGAAAATCTTATGGATTTTTCAAAACGATAACGCACCGGCTCACACAGCCAGATATGGCCCCGTGTGATTTTTTCGTCTTCCCCGACTCAAATTGCCATTGCGAGAGATGCGTTTTGAGACCATAGAGGCCATAAAAGAGAATTCGCTGCGTGAAATAAAGGCCATACCTTCGGCGGCCTATAAAACTTGTATGGAAAACTAGATCAAGCATGCATGTATTGCCGCAAGAGGATAGTACTTTCAAGGCGATAATAAAGAAAATTATTAAAAATTAAAATTTTGCGTTTTTTTTAAATTCTCGTTCTTTTTTTATCATAAGGTATGTGTACATTATAGCTCATTTACTTGTATGCGCCACTTGGATAGCCAGTTTTGGAAGTCCTTGTGATGAGCCTGTAGTTCTTGGGAAACGGTGGAAGAATTTTTATGAACGCTGAGAAGAGCAGTATCATCTGCAAACGTGGATGTTTTAAGTTTTTGACTAGTCGGCAAATCCGATGTAAATAAAGGGTATAAGACTAGTTCAAGAATGCTATCCTGCGGAACTCCAGCATACACATCAAACTCATCTGTGGTTGTATCCTTAAATTTTACTTTGTATTTACGTGTAGTTAGGTATGAAATCAATAGTTTATGAAAAGGAGTTGGTAAAATTTGTCTTATCTTAAAGATTAGACCTTCGTGCCATACTTTGTCAAAGGCCTGTGCAATGTCGAGAATTAGGGCAGTGTTTTCCTTCGTCAAATGCCTTTCTAATTTCGTTTGCAACTCGGTGAACTTGCTCAATTATGCTATGTTTATGACGGAAACCAAATTGATGAGTTAGAGAGATGTTATTTTCTTCAATAATTAAGAATAATTAATTAAGAATATAACTATTCAGAGTTTTATCACTCTGAGTTAGTAAATAGTTTATTACAACATTTTATTTACTTTTTTAAAAATTGTATATTAAATGAAAGTCTTTTTCTCGCTGATTACTTCGAAAAAAAAGGACCGCATTAAAAGCATGACTTGGATCCAAACCTTCAAATAAATGATTACGATACACATGTATCATATCATGAATGTATGATTCACGGCAGGTTTGCATCCAGTTATCTTCAAATTTTACAAATTTCGCATATCTGCTTCTTTTTAATTAGATTTTACACTGTTTTACGTAAAATTTTGTATAACTTTACTGAGTCCGTCGC